CCTTTCATAAAGGTGGTCATCCCGAAAAGCAAGTGGGTCCGTGCGCTCCCTGAAAACTCTCGCGCACAGGAGTGCTCCTCGTACAATGCGAGCACTGAGGTCTATAGGATCCTCTAAGAACGGACAAGCCATTTTTCAAGAGAGCTCATTGGTCAGTGGGCGGGGTTTTTATACTTGGTGAGTTTAATCTGGAACCTAACCTGCCCCGGTGCAGGTTAGCCGTTCAGCGTACGTTGCCATGGAGACTCGCCTCGCTAAGAAGTGAACCCGCGTCGTAGAACAGGAAACCCTGAACTTACCCTCGAAGTTACCTCGCTAAGCAGTAATCCTGCTTTGTAGAACAGGCCCCTGCTCTAAATGTTTTTTGGGGAAATCACAGAAGATCCCACTGACACGCTGTGAGACTCACGAAACTAATGACAAATAAAGGCTCTCCTAACTGGTTCATCTGTGCTTCTGCACATCAAAACAGCCCGCCCCTACAACCTCTGAGGTGACACCCACAGCAGAGTGGGGTAATGCTGTTAATGAACAGTAACTCTACAGTTGACTAGTCAAATCTACTGCCTCCCGTAAAGTCTGTTTTATAAGTTGTGACTGTTCTCATGTGAACAATCACTGTACGGGTTTAAGGTGTGATCAGAGATCCACATTTCCTATTTTTATGTATAATATAACGTTTTCCTCAGACTCAATATGTTACAATTCGATGTATCTATAGCCTGCACAATCATGCAACAATTCATCAAAAGCATCTTCACAAACTACAGCAGGAAAATAATAAAACACATAACTACAAAACACCACAAATACTACTTAATCTTAAAAGGATTCAGCGGTCATGCGGGCTACACCTAAAACATACTTTTCTTTACTTGCATTTGTATGGATTTTATGTAAAACTACAACACTATACAGATATAATGAAATAACTAGCTCATGGCTACTGCTCAGAGCAAGACAAGTGTTTTTTGATCAAAGTAAAAACCAAGAGGAATAGTACATCCTATATTGTTCACCAGAAACACTGCATTGACCTAGCTTTGACAGAAGTTACCCATTTTGTTAACTATTATCATGTACAGACAGTCTGTCTGGAGTTAGTGATTATCAGACATCCGTTTTCCACCAGGGGGCGACTGAACACCTCCTAACAATCATCTATTGTAGTTAGCCAGCTGTTTAACGCTAGCGTCATCTGGAAGCTAAGGTCCGTGTTATGTTTAAGCAACACGCCCTGGTGACGTCCCCGTTTATAACAAAAAGCTACATTCATGATATTACAACAATCGAAAAACTTGCTGAGCAAAACACGAAGCTGCGGGCTAAGAGTGGTGCAGAAGGATCGCAAACCTTAGCTGCTGTTAGCTTTTGCTCTCGTTACTTAGCACAGTGGGAAAGCGCTGTAATTTACGGATAACTTTGTGCGTTTCAGACCCACTTGGTCAGCGCTTTCAGTCACTAACAACGTAGCTTACCGTAAAAGCTGGTACGTCTCAGAATACAGTAAATTTCCTTAGTAGTGTCTTGCCAACAAGGCTCCGTTGCTCCGTGACCACCTCGCTCCCTCGCAGGCCGTGGTTTCCGTCTCACGGAGCTTCTTCGGATAGTCACGTCGATGACATCATGACGTACATGTTCGTGTTCACGACGTTTTTCAAAAAGGTTTATAAATGCAGTACCATAGCTATGCGTAGTACGATCATAGACTGTATAAAGAAGTATATACAGGATATGCAGTCGGTGTGTATGACTTGACAGAGCACTTTCTTAATTCTTGTTGACTCAAGTGTTGTTTATTCTCTTTTTATTTAAAAATAATATATTATATGGTAAAATCTGTTAAAAAGCAGGACTGTTACAAAAAGCATTTGAGTTGTGTATTGATCACGCTATTACAGATAATTTATAAAAGAAACAGGGAAAAGGGGTATGAAAAATTATCAACATTCACCCCAGAGCTACCTTCAAAATAAACAGTACTCAACAAAAACATTTAACAAATAAAAAATGATAAAATAGATGAATATGACCTAATAAAAGTCCAGTGACTTGTAGATCATTCTGAATGACAACCTTACTGACATCTTGGAGTTTAACTATAGAAAGAAAAAAATTCAAGATGAAATACAATGGGGAAATGTCTGTATTGACCAAGAGACTTTTTTATTCAAACACATCATTGAAAACTGTTTGGGTATTTCATTATAGGGGAGAGTGGGCTAAGTTGAGCCAAAGGGTAGGTTGAGCCACCTCCTGTTGCTTGGAAATGGTAAAAGAAATTGATCATGTGACCAAATATTTAGGAGATGGGCATCAATTCATGGAGTCTGTGAAGGTTAGAAGCACATGGGTGAAGGGGTTAGACATTTATTTCTAAAAAAAACATTTGTCACTCTTGAAAGTGAATTTAGTCTGTCATAAGTTTTTTGGTCCGAATTGTGTTCAGACCAAAAAAGATCATTTTAAATTTGTTTTATACATTAATTGTGCTATCTATGAGCTACAACATGAGGTCAAAAACCTAGTATAAAAGTCCACCGTTTTAGCTAAGAGGACTAATAAAGTCATCACAGTAGTCCTGGGGTAAGTTGAGCCAGTGACTCAACTGAGAAAGTAAAGGAGTCTGATGAGAGGATCAGAGTTTCAGTTCAGATTGTTGAAATGTGTTACTTTTTCTTTTCAGAAATACAGCTGTGACTGTTCTGAATCACTTAAAGGCATTCTCATGTTAAAATGGCTTTTTACAAAACAGCTTTTTCACAGTTATATGCAATAATATTAAAAGAAATCATTGTACCAGTTGAATAGCGTATAATAGATAAAAACACACATGAATGTGAAGAAGGGACTGTTATTTAGGGAGAGAGAAGGTGAGGGAGGGCTGGGGTGGAGAGTGGGGGGTGGTAGGGATACAGCTCAACTTACCCCGCTCCTATGGTCAACTTACCCCTTACTTGGGGTAAGTTGACCATAGGAGACCACTTTTTTCTGGCATGCTATATTATCAAGACAGTTATGTTTACACTCACTCTGTTGGTTTGCAGGGATGCGCAACATCTTGAAATATATGCAGATACACTAGTTAGAGACAAAACTATGATTGCCTTAATGTAGTGATCTGAAATATGAAAAATGACTCATCTTACCTCACTCTCCCCTACTGTCCACCATATTCTTTGACAGACAAGCCATCACTAATATGTTTCCATTAATTTTGTATAACTGTTTGTGTCTTGGCCATTTGAACAGTTTTCTTCCTCAATGTAAAGAGCTGACCTCTGCTTTGTCTCCCTGGTACTAAATGTGCCTGTGACGGTGTAAAAGTAGTCTCCAACACTTTCAGGACTCCATCTCTGAAATCTAGTCAAAGAAACCTGTTAAGCAGCTGGTTCTGGCAATTTATAATTGAAGCCAATTTGATAGGGACTGGATCCAGTTGGTTGCACCATGTCTCATATTTATAGTCATGAAGCCTAATGACCCATTTCAATCAGTGTGAAGACGTGAAAGGGACCTGACAGAAGAAAAAAGTGTTGGTAACTGCAGCAATTGTCTCAAAAGTGTGACCTAGCTGGCCAGAGTGCAGTTTCTTCTGAGACAATGGATTATCACAGTATAACAGGAGACAGTGACAGTGAAGGGGACAATGAAGCCCAGGCAGTAGTGAGTGATAGTCATATCCTGAAAACAGGCAGTTGACGGCGTCATAATTATTTCACGATGACTTGTGTCCCCACAGATGAGATCAGGATAGCCGAGGATCAGAACCAGCATCCAAAAACTCAGACTCACATCATAGAGCCTAAATGCTTGTATATACTACAATACTGTGAACTCTGTGAATAAGGCCTTAGAATATACATGCATGTGCAAACAAAAAACTTTATCAGATGAAAGCAAATGCACACACTCAGTGTTGGAGATATGAAACAGTGAGTAGTTTTTACATAATCCAGTTGATAGAAGTAAATATGTGCCCCTCCATTAAACACTTACTCCCTTAAGAAGGCACATATGCTTCCTAAAGTATAGACTTGATATTCATGGTTTCCTTCACCTCTATGTGCTGACATTGCTATGGAGATGCATTTTGTTGCTTAAATATGTGATGTCAGAAGTGGGGAGCACATATGACAAGGGACTTCTTTCTTCTTGTTGCCATCATCTCAAATTTTAAGACACATTTCTACTTTGACCTTGAGTTCTTTGTGTGCAGCTTGTGATTTGTTAGATAGTCCAAGCTAAGTAATGAACTGTGCTGCTTAAAAATTCATTTTTTCTTAATGCATAGATTACAACAATAAATTAGAAGGTTATTCTCACCATACCCCTGGATAGATAAAACACTGTCATGTGTGTGTCCAAGTCCACCCAAAAAAAGGTGTATAACATTTTTTATTTGTGTTACACTTCTGACCACTTGGTGGAGCATGCATCCCGCTTGGGATTTCTGAGATTATATACTGATGTGTCGCTTTCTTATGCAAAAGGCAAACTAATTTTAACCATTATTGAGCTCTCATGCCTAATTTGATCATCCTCACTTTTAAACTATTTGATGGATGTTTGAAAATAAAGGGGAGAACCAGGGAACAGCTCTAAATTTAATGTTGCTTACAGCTGGGTGCAAGAACCAATAAGCCTACCTTTTGTTTGCAATCTGGAACAAATACAAGCAACCTTGATACAAAGACTTGAGCAGTGACTGGGCATGGTATAGTAATAAACTTTTCTTTTTTTTTAAGTTTTCACCTCATGGGTCATGTGGAAACAAAGCAAAGAAGATAATTGATGACTTTTTTTATTTGCATCATTTATGATGAATATAAAAAACTGTCAGTACATTTACTGTTGTTTTAATTTATGACTCATAAATGACACTATAAATGATTGCATTAGCAGACTTAATGCATTTTATTGAACCTCTTAGAGACAAGTTTCTGTTGGATGTGTGGTAATTTTAAATGTTGGAACCCAGAATGCAAACCAGACTGAGGAAGCTTTTTAACAGGTTTTATTTTGAGGAATTGTGCAAGGAAGGGGATGATACAGGGTCCGAGGGCTGTGAGACGATCCAAAGGAGTGTGAGGATTTTCTCTTGGAGAGTGTGCTGGGTTTGTGGGCTGGCATGAGGCAAGGAGTGAGGCACTGGAAAAAAGGAGAGACAACAAGGGTCAATGACTAATCCAAGAGCGCAGAAAATCTGCAATCTTACAAAGGAATCACTAGAGAGCTCTGAAGAGGGCTGCAGTACCACTGTGTGGAGTGACAATACTCTGGCGCTGAGGCTTGTGTCTGCAGCAGTCTTCAAGATTGCAGAGCAGCAGCAGGTAAGAGCAATCAACCTCAGCGCTGTGGGAGGTGGGGGTGGGGGGCAAGCTCTGAAAGAAGGTGAAGGTGACAGCAAACAGCCCACACAGGAAAATAGAATCCAACAAAATAAAATGTGTGAAGTAACAATCACCGCAGGTTGTTGATTAACAGAGAAATGAAAACATCGAGGTGTTAAGTTTACAACAACATATCTGTTTCAAGAAAGCTTACATAATAGAAATTCCAATACAGGCCAGAACAACAAAATTACAGGACTGACCGCATCAATTTAATAAAGTTAATCAAACTTTTTTACTAAAGTACCACTAATTCTCTTTGAGAAATGTTAACAGAGTGACTTGAAGAATTTGTACAAAGGTACAAATTATGAACAACAAATCTGAAGATAAGTTCAGACGTTCCTGTAAATTACTTACAATATAAGTTTTGATGTTTGTTTGCTCATCTTAGGGTAAGGCTCATAGCTCAGTATTCAGAATTGACCTTTCATTTGCCTGGCTGGCGCTTACAGTGTTTGTGTCGGTGTGAGAGCCATAGTCCTCATCCTGGAAGGCAGTCTCCAACATTTTCAGGATAGATTTGCAGACTTTATCCCTGAAATCTTGCCCAACAAACACATACAGCAGTGGGTTGAGGCAGCTGTTAAGACAAGACAGACTGGAAGCTATGGGGATTCCAATACGGGCGACATAGCCCAATATTTCACTGCTATAATTTATTGTAAAATGAATCATCTCACACAGAGTGGTGATTTGAAAGGGGGCCCAGCAGAAGAAAAATGCAATGATAACTGCAGCAATGATCTTAAATGTACGACTTGATTTTCCGGCCAGAGTGCGGTTTCTCCTGAGATGATGGATTATCACAGCATAACAGGAGACAATGACAGCGAAGGGGACAACAAATCCTAGAAGGAAGGGGGTGATGATCACAGCCTGATGACGAAGCCTGCCTGTTTCTTCACCATCAGAAAGGGCAAAGTTATAGTAGCATGCAACTGTATCAGAATCCAGCATTATGTCCCTGAAGGCAAAGTGTGGAGAGCTGAGAATCAGAGCCAGCAACCAAACACCCAGACTCACATAGGACGCCCTGTATACATTACGATGGTTCTGGGCCCAGACAGGCCACACCACTGACACCAATCTGTCCACGCTGATCACCACCAGAATGTAGACACTTGCAAAGAAGTTCAGGTTATTTAATGTGAAGACTAGTTTACACATGAATTTGCCAAAAGGCCAGTGGAAATCTAGAGCCAGGCGTGTCACAATGAGGGGCAGAGATGCTGCATAGAGGAAGTCAGCCACAGCCAGGTTGAGGAACCAAACTGTGTTGACTGTTTTCTGCATCTTGAATCCAGTCACCCAGATAACTGCTCCGTTTCCGAGAACACCAAGAACAAAGGCCAGGCAGTAGATAACAAGAGTCATGATGTTGAGAGAACTGTTCTAGATTAAAATATTTATCTTGAAATGAAGAGTCATTTCTGGCAGAAGCATTTGCTGTGATTTGGTGTAATGGTGCAGTTGTGGACTCCATAATTCAACTGCAGTGGCAACACAAAGAAAGATATCAGGTCATTATAACTTAAACAAATATACAAAACGCTTTAAATGGCAGAAAAACAAACAAACATACCTTTCCCAAAGCTTGCTGTGGGTTTGAGGAAGAATTTGTTGCACAAACTGTCTGAATGACTTACATTTATACAAGATTATTTGTGTCTATGACGTCAATTCCTGAGTAAAGGTGGAGCCACATGAAACATGTACAAAAAATTGACTTGTCCCCTTGACATCTATGATTAAAAAAACAAAAGAGGAAATCAGGGTCATCACTGGTAAACAAAAAAGAAAAGTGACCAGATATTCAATCAGTTTTGTTTGCATATTTGATAATCCAATAGTATGTAAAAACTTCCTCATTGTTCTTGCCATCCATTGATTTTTTAAACTCAACCTCTGTAAAATATCTTATATTATGACAGCTCATCTCTCTGTCTTTTTAAAACTATGCTGTCCATCTACTGCTGAAAGCAAACTACATTGGTGGAGACAACCTAAATAATAGTGGGTTCAGAGAAATTGCAAAACTTCATATCATTCACAGTTTGTTTCTTCCTGTTAGCATCCTGTTTGATGTGCTGAGTCACCTCTCTTATGAAATGTTTTCTTTATCATGAGATTCATTTGATAATATCATGAAAAAAGAAAAAAAAATACATTTCAAAGCATCTGAATTCATGTTAAAAGCACTGGACACAAAATATAAGAGTTAACAAACAGATACATATGATCCATCTCAAGCTAATGTCCAAATCAAGTTAGTCATTTCAGACAGGTCACCTATAAGGGATGATATAGGGCAAATATACTACATATCCCTCTTGCATCTTCTCTTGAAGAGTTAAAAGAAAACTCTGGGCGTCATTCAGAATTCAAAATCCTTATATCAGTCAGTCAAGTCACATTGTTTCAATCAAATGTTAATGTAAGTGCAGAAATGATTTGGAGTTGGCATCTTGACCCTGAACTTCTCACAGATTAAGTTTACATGTTGAATTGGGGAGTTATGACATAGTATCTTAAATTTCCTAAAGATATGTACCTGAAGCTGACATATACAGTCAGTATCTATCTACTGGACAAGTGTGGGCTTGAACATGTCTAACATTTAGGCCATTCCCATGAGCACCGTAGCAGCATGAAGAGTAAACTACCTGATCAATATGGCCCAACACTGTCATATTTTAAATACATGACCGAGTGCAGGAATTCTAACCCATCACCACCTGATCTGCAACCAGAGAATTTCATATCATCATATACCAAAACTATGTGGGCCTTCCTTATCCCCCTAACAATCCTTCTTGTTAGGCCCACATACACTAATGAAAATAAGAGGTTACCATTAGTCTACTTGCCTGAAAGCAGATCAATATACAGTATTTATCAAAGCAAAGCAGGTACAGTGGTGCTATTTTTCATTGGTATCTTAGAGCACCTATGATGCACATGCATGTGTTCACACAGGCACTCATGACATGTGGCTCATTTGGACGTTTGTGTAACCAACTTCTCTTGTGACAAGTTTAGTCAACTGTAAAATGAATGATCAATTGCTGTATAAAAAGTTTAACCATGTATATATAATTCCTCAGCACGATAACTTGATAATATAATTAAGAAAATACTATCAGTGATAGCAGTGTCTGAGACTATCTGAGGTCACTGGCTAGTGCTTCAGTGTCATGTTGGAGTCTTATTTGGATTCAGAAGGCATTATACATGATTTTACTTACTGCAAACACATGCAGTGTAGGTAGCCCTTTTCTCCTCACACCTGCTCTGAGTGAAATAAGACTTTTTGCAGTGAATGACAAAGGCAGCGCTGTAACAGATATAGCCTGTTCTTACTGTTGCCTGAGGTCTTAAACAGACACATTTGATTAGGTACTGTTTTCAAGATCCTGGATTCAAGCAGGACTTTGTTTCCTCTCCCCCTGGGTACCAGGATAGTGATGAAGCTGAGCCTTGCCTCTCTGGTCAGTTCTAAAAGTCAGAGACATTTTTATTTATGTCAACCACATGCTTGCTCTAACTTTATTGTGATACACTATCTGTGCTTGAGGAGATCATTTGCACTGTGATAAACTAGCGTGTGCAGTTCCGGTTTGTGTATGAGGAAATGTGAGTGTGCCGAGTGGTTTAAGGCCAGCAGATTTATCTCTGTGTTGTATGTTCTTGGAGCAGCCTCTACAACTATAGCCTTGGTGATATGTACAAAGATTGTATATGCGGTATTTATGATCATGTACTTTGCATTTTGAGATTCAATATAAAACTGAAGCAGTAGATGGGGGACCCTGATTACCACTACCTCAAACACATACTTTCACCACTTATGATAAAAAAACAGTCCTTGAGCACAACTAGGCTTTTAAACCCAATTATTAATGTTGTAGGCACCAAAAGGCACATTAATAGCATTGCCTTAGCTGACAGACTCAACAGTACCACTATCAAGCGCAGGAATATGAGCCATCAAGAAGCCCTCCGATTAGATGGGCATGAGTGCCAAGTGGGATGGCCCAGGTCAGGAGGTGGGGGCCTCAAATTGGCCTTCTTCCATCAAAAATGTCTTTTCTTTTGAGACTTGTCATAGGTTGAAAGAAGACGACCATTGGTTTGATAATCTAAGGCTGAGTGTCATCTTCTTCCTAAACCCTAAGCCTTTAACCCTGAAGCCTTATGGATTTGATTGATGTTACTTGGAATGTGATTGAGTGCACAAGGGCTCAAAATGATATAACTAGAATGGGATAGCTCTTTGTGACTTCTTGCAGAACAGTGACAATACAACATCCTGTTGCTCTCTTTTTAAAATAATTTCCCATGTACCTTTTACCTCTGCAGGGCTTCCTCTGGGAAATTTCCTCACACAAAGTCTGCAGAGATGCCCAATCACGCAAAAGGTGCAGAACTCTGGCAGAGTTTGCTCACACACATTTTGATTTGGATATAGTGGGAACACGCCTCAGTGTCCGTGAGTGTGTGAGTATGGACACTGAAATTGGGCGTAAGTGTCCATGCAGGCAGATGGAGAGGTGCTGATGGAGAGGTGCTGTTGTAGTACAGTCACTTCTTAAAGTGGAACTGGGAGTTGCTCTCGTGGCTGCTCCTAGGTTGCACCTGAGGCGAGTATGATCAACTCAAGGAGAACCGTTGAGGACATTGAAAGCGTGAGACGAATCATACCAACATACAAGGGTTTTTTGTGACACAGGCTCCACCCTGTGGTGTTCAGAGGGTAAGACATGCAGTTGCTGCAATAAGTTTCATAACTTTTTCACCTTCAAACCCTTGTTGTTCAGCTGTAGGCCTATCTTTTTATCTTTTTATCTTTTTCTCTATCTTTTTGCACATCTTTTTAACAAATTGTAAGAAATGTTGAAGTTCCACTTTAAATACAGATTTTATTTTGTAATAAAAAACCCAAACCAAAACAAAAAAGGCTTCATAAATAACAGAGGATTTAAGGCACCATAAATGTTAAATGGAGTCTAACCCTCAGGAGTTAGTTAACACCCTGCAGCTTGACAGAATATAGTTTTTTACTCTTACCATAGTGTAAGTACAACAGATAGGCTATGTATTTGTTAGTCAAACATTGCCTTTTTGTATCTGTACTGGATTGCTGAAAAAAATAGTCAAATGATAAGAAGTAATTTTATTAATCGTGAGACGTTTCGTGTTGGTATAATGTTGAAAAGATTGAAAAATAATTTTAATTCAGATTTTGGACAGAGAAAGGTACATTTTTTTATTTATTATAATGCCACATTTACCAAAGACAATGCATGGGCAGAGTTTGATAATCATTCATTGTACATTAATTTCTACATCCCAGTACTGTCCACTGACCTGTCTTTGGTCTGACCAGTGTTTACTGAGCTTGTGTAGGTGTGAGAACCAGTGTCCTCATCCTGGAAGGCAGTCTCCAACATTTTCAGGATAGAGTGACAGACTTTATCCCTGAAATCCCGCCCAACAAACACATACAGCAGTGGGTTCAGATAACTGTTGATGAAAGCCAGGGTGGTAGCGATGGGGATCCCAATGGTAGTGACATGGTTCAGTGTTTCATTTTGATAATTGGTCACAGAGTGATGCATGATGATCAAAGAGAGGATGTGAAAGGGGGCCCAGCAGAAGAAAAATGCAATGATAACTGCAGCAATGATCTTAAAGGTACGAGTTGATTGGCTGGCCAGAGTGCGGTTTTTCCTAAGACGATGGATAATCACAGCATAACAGGAGACAATGACAGTGAAGGGGACAACAAATCCCAGGATGAAGCAGGTGATGGTCATAGCCTGATAACGCAGGACTACCAGCTCATACACAGATTCGGACTTGTGGTCAACAAAAAGAGCATAATTGTTGTAGCAGATAATCACATCTGGATTGTGAGGAGAAGGTGCTGTGTCCCTGAAGGCAAAGTGCGGAGATGTGAGAATCAGAGCCAGCAACCAAACACCCAGACTCACATAGGACGCCTTGCGTACATTACGATGGTTCTGGGCCCAGACAGGCCACACTACTGACACTAATCTGTCCACACTGATCACCACCAGAATGTAAACACTCACAAAGACATTCAGGGTATTGAATGTGCTGTTGAGTTTACACATGAATTTGCCAAAAGGCCAGTGGAAACCTGAAGCCAAGTATGTGACACTGAGGGGCAAAGTTGCTGTAAAGAGGAAGTCAGCCACAGCCAGGTTGAGGAACCAAACTGTGTTGACGGTTTTCTTCATCTTGAATCCAGTCACCCAGATAACTGCTCCGTTCCCGAGAACACCAAGAACAAAGGCCAGGCAGTAAATAACAAGAGTCATGATGTTGAGAAACTGTTTCAGCTCAAAATCCTTGTTTTGAAATGAAGAGTCATTTCTGGCAGGAGCATTTGCTGTTAGTTGGTGTAATCGTGCAGTTGTGGACTCCATAATCGTACTGCAATGGCAAAACAAACAAAGAAAGACATCAGGTCATTATAACTTAGTCCATATATTTTGTTATCTATTTTCTGTTGTTTATTCCATACCTCCTTTTTATGCTGTTGTTGTTCTTGTCTCTTTTTACCACTGCTTGATGATTTTTATTTTCCTTCAAAGACTTCTGAATAGTAGCCGACTGAAATGTCAAGTTTAAATAAATGTGTTGCTGTTTAAAAAGGTTTTACTGACACTGTTAAACAGTTATTCCCACCTTTATTAAAGAAAGCATTAGTGTTCCTTTACTGTGTAAGTGTATTTTTCTAATCAATTCCTGAGTATTGTCAACATTATTTAAAATTGTACCTGTTGACATGTTACATTTATTTCTCCATTACTCTAAGTGTGTCAATAAAGACACTTATGTGGATTTAAAGGATCCATAAAACATAAAACATGACCCGTAAACAGGATGTGACAGAACAAAATTCAACATATTCAGGTCTTGACTGGATTGAATTTGAAACAGCTAATTCCTACAACAAACTGCTTGTGTTTAATGTGTAGGTTTCAAATCTTTTTGAATATTACAATTCAAAGTAAGAGGTCACACAGTTTGGTTGTTGCATTTGTTTTTAACAACATTGAGTGATGAATCTAAAAAATTAAATCGCAAAAACATACCTTTCCCAAAGCTTCCTGTGAGGTTGAGGAAGGATTTGTTGCACAAACTGTCCGAATGACTTGAATTTATACAGGTTTATTTGTGGCTATGACGTCAATTCCCAAATAAAGGTGGAGCAACATGAAAAATGTACAAAACATTGACCTGTTGACTTGTCCCCTTGACATCTATGATTAATAAAACAAAAGAGGAAATCAGGGTCATCACTGGTAAACAAAAAAGAAAAGTGACCAGATATTCAATCAGTTTTGTTTGCATATTTGATAATCCAATAGTATGTAAAAACTTCCTCATTGTTATTGCCATCCATTGATTTTTTAAACTCAACTTCTGTAAAATATCTTATATTATGACAGCTCATCTTTCTGTCTTTTTAAAACTATGCTGTCTATCTACTGCTGAAAGCAAACTATATTGGTGGAGACAACCTAAATAATAGTGGGTTCAGAGAAATTGCAGAAGTCCATATCGTTCACAATTTGTTTCTTCCTGTCAGCATCCTGTTTGATGTGCTGAGTCACCTCTCTTAAGAAATGTTTTCTTTGTCACGGGATTCATTTGATAATATCATGAAAAAAGAAGAAAAAAAAACATTTCAAAGCATCTGAATTCATGTTAAAAGCACCGGACACCAGATATAAGAGTTATAAAAGTAACAAACAGATACATATGATCCATCTCAAGCTAATGTCCAAATCAAGTCAGTCATTTCAGACAGGTCACCTATAAGGGATGATATAGGGCAAATATACTACATATCCCTCTTGCATCTTCTCTTGAAGAGTTAAAAGAAAACTCTGGGTGTCATTCAGAATTCAAAATCCTTATATCAGTCAGTCAAGTCACATTGTTTCAATCAAATTTTAATGTAAGAGCAGAAATGATTTGGATTTGGCATCTTGACCCTGAACTTCTCACAGATTAAGTTTACATGTTGAATTGGGGAGTTATGACATAGTATCTTAAATTTCCAAAAGATATGTACCTGAAGCTGACATATACAGTCAGTATCTATCTACTGGATAAGTGTGGGCTTGAACATGTCTAACATTCAGGCCATTCCCATGAGCACCGTAGCAGCATGAAGAGTAAACTACCTGATCAATATGTCACAATACTGTCATATATTAAATACATGACCGAGTGCAGGAATTCTAACCCATCACCACCTGATCTGCAACCAGAGAATTTCATATCATCATATACCAAAACTATGTGAGCCTTTCTTATCCCTCAAACAATCCTTCTTGTTAGGCCCACATACACTAATGAAAATAAAAGGTTACCATTAGTCTACTTGCCTGAAAGCAGATCAATATACAGTATTCATCAAAGCAAAGCAGGTAGAGTGGTGCTATTTTTCATTGGTATCTTAGAGCACCTATTATGCACATGCATGTGTTCACACAGGCACTCATGACATGTGGCTCCTTTGGACGTTTGTGTAACCACCTTCTATTGTGATAAGTTTGGTCAACTGTAAAACAAGCTAGAAAATTCCCTCTGGGAATTTTTGAAAGGGCTACAGGGGGTACTGTCAGGGTGTGTTCATTATGATATTCCTTAGAGATTTCAAATTATTAATACAAGTAGCACTGTGACATTACATACAAAAAGCACAACAAACAACAAAAATTCCTTGTGCAGTTATTTATGTAAACAACAAAACCTCAGCTGAAAGACTCAATAGCACCACTATCAAGGGCAGGTATATGACCCATCAAAAAGCCGTCTGATTGGATGGGAATGAGTGTCAGGTGGGAGGCTCAGTCTGACAGGTAAGGGCCTATAATTGGCCTTATTCCATTAAAAATATTCTGCCTTCTTCTTTTTAAAAAAAAACTTTTTATTTATTTACAGAACATGAGGTCATCATGGGTGATACAGTTGAAATGTAAATATTCTTTTACACATTGATACATATATACAAGTACACATAAATCATAGCAATTGTCACACGATTCAAGGTGCATATCCAGTCCATTTTCCCCAGCATTTCAAACATTTCTCCAACTGAAATCTTAAAACAAAAGTAAGTCTCTCCGTACAGTGAATTTCTTGGACAATCCTGTGCCACTGGTTCAGTGTTGGGGAATCTGGTTGTAACCACCTTCTTGTTATGGCGTTCCTACCACTTGCCAAAAGAATCTTTAACAGGTACCTGTCCTTATGTAGGACTGTTTCCGGGATTTTACAGAGAGATATAAAACAACAAAGTCTAAATCCACCCCCATTATTTTATTTATCTCGGTTGATACCTCCCTCCAAAATGACTTTTGGAAACAGGCCCAAAAAATATGAAAGTGATTAGCCATAGGGGTTCCACATTATCTCCAGCAGTAGCCTCGGTTCTGTGTGCCTGTTTGCAGTGCTGTTAATTTAGGGGTTATGAAAAATCTCACCACATTCTTCCAGCTGAACTCTCTTAAAGATCTTGAATTTGCAGTGTTCGCTTGTGTCTCACATATTTCTATCCAGGTCTCTTCTGATATTTGTATTCCTGACTCCTTCTCCCATTTTTGTTTAATGGATAACGTAGAATGATTTTTAGAGGCTTGTATACTTTTGTATAATCTAAAAATATTCTGCCTTCTTGAAATTTATTTTTGGGGATAGGACAGCTCTTTGTGACTTCTCACAAAACAGTGATAACACAACATCCTGTTGCTCTCCATAGTGGCATAATGTCTTTCTGAAACCACAGAGCAACACGTGCGGGAAACAAATGATTTCCCTACTTGCTGTCTTACAAGACGCAGGCAGTCTGATATTATTATTATTATTATTATTATTATTATTATTGCTTAAATGATCATGCAGGCAAACCTTAGCCAAATATGATCAACTCAAGAAGAACTGTTCAGGACACTGAAAGCGTGAGACGACTCATACCGACATACAAGGGTTTTTTGTGACACAGGCTCCACCCTGTGGTGTTCAGAGGGTAAGCCACACAGTTGCTGCAATAAGTGTTGTAACTTTTTCACCTTCAAATCCCTCTTGTTCATCTGTATCCATATCCAAAATATGTCATATCTTTTGAACAGATTGAAATAAATGTTATATAATATATAAAATGTTATCTATATAAAAGTGCCCCTTTAATATAGATGTTATTTCTGGGAAAAAAGGATTTGAGGCACCATACATGTTAAATAAAGTCTGACCTTCAGGAATTAGTTAACACCCTGCAGCCTGGCAGTTTTACACTGACCATAGTGTAAGTACAATAGATATGTATTTGTTAGCCACACATTGTCATCTTGTATCTGTACTGGATTTTAGAAAAAAAAGTCCAATGATAAAAAGTAATTTTATTAATCATGAGACGTTTCGTGTTGGTATAATGTCGAAAAGATTGAAAAATAATTTAAATTCAGATTTTTTTTACAGAGAAAGGTACATTTTTTATTCATCATTATGCCACATTTACCAAAGACAATGCATCGACAGAGTTTGATAATCATTCATTGTACATTCATTTCTACATCCCAGTACTGTCCACTGACCTGTCTTTGGTCTGACCAGTGTTTGCTGAGTTTGTGTAGGTGTGAGAACCAGTGTCCTCATCCTGGAAGGCAGTCTCCAACATTTTCAGGATAGAGTGACAGACTTTATCCCTGAAATCCCGCCCAACAAACACATACAGCAGTGGGTTCAGACAGCTGTTAATGAAAGCCAGGCTGGTAGCGATGGGGATCCCGATGGTGGTGACATGGTCCAGTGTTTCATTTTCATAATTGGTCACCAAATGATGCATGTTGATCAAAGAGAAGATGTGAAAGGGGGCCCAGCAGAAGAAAAATGTGATTATAACTGCAGCAATGATCTTAAATGTACGAGTTGATTGGCTGGCCAGGGTGCGGTTTTTCCTGAGACGATGGATTATCACAGCATAACAGGAGACAATGACAGTGAAGGGGACAACAAATCCCAGGATAAAGTTGGTAATGACCAAAGCCTGATAACGCAGGACTATCAGCTCATATAGATGTTCTGACTCAAGGTCAGCAAAAAGAGCATAATTGCTGTAGCAGTTAATCACATCTGGATTGTGAGGAACAGGTGCTGTGTCCCTAAAGGCAAAGTGTGGAGAGCAGAGAACCAGAGCCAGCAACCAAACACCCAGACTCACATAGGACGCCTTGCGTACATTACGATGGTTCTGGGCCCAGACAGGCCACACCACTGACACTAATCTGTCCACGCTGATCACCATCAGAGTGAAGACACTTGCAAAGACATTCAGGTAATTGAATGTGCTGTTGAGTTTACACATGAATTTGCCAAAAGGCCAGTGGAAATCTGAAGCCAAGTATGTGACACTGAGGGGCAAAGTTGCTGTAAAGAGGAAGTCAGCCACAGCCAGGTTGAGGAACCAAACTGTGTTGACGGTTTTCTTCATCTTGAATCCAGTCACCCAGATAACTGCTCCGTTCCCGAGAACACCGAGAACAAAGGCCAGGCAGTAGATAACAAGAGTCATGATGTTGAGAGATTGTCTCAGCTCAAAATACGGGTCTATGTAATCGGTGCCGCCCTCGTCAGTTACATTTGTTGTACTGATGTTTTGCATATTTGATGTGGTCACTTCCATTGTTGTTCAGAGACCTGCAATGACAAGCCAAGCACACTATATGAAGCTTTTTGTCAGCCAAAATACATTTTCTATACATAAACCATCAAAAGCCTATAATGAAAATATAAGGGGTGAAAGATTAGTCTTTTATTTAGGCCTCTGCGTTGTCATGCATGTATTAATGGAACTAGTTTTAACACATTTATAGTTTTCTTTATCTTATCTGGTAAATGTAGCTGTAAAGGCATATATGCAACTGTATAGCTTTTATAGGCTACCTGTAGGGTACTTTTTACACCCAAAACTAACTAAATTTACAAGGTTTCTGTTAACTGTGGTGTTCATATACAGTACATATATAAAATGATCTAACATGTTTTATATTCAAATGATAACCTTGGCTAATCAGCACATCATTGACTCCTTGTTGTAGCCTATTAACTTGCTCTTCAAAATCTAATCACTTAACAAAAATAGACCTACGATGAATACAGTGAAATAGGATATTATGAATATTTGAAAAAAAGGGGTCAACTTTTTCAAACCATTAAAATGTTGCTGCAGACATAAATTCATTATCAATATACAAAAATAACGTACCTCTGTGAACTTTTCCCAGTCTTCAAACGATTATTCAATTGCTGTCAAGCGATCAGATTTATATACCCCCCCCCCCAGTGTCGTCACGACAAAACTCACGTGCAAGGCGTAGCCACAGGGTACACGCACAAAATAGCCTGCCCTTAAATTGATCAACTTTTGCCCAACAAAGTGTACTTCCAGAGTTGTATTTAGCTTTGAATAAACATAAGAAGTGCATAATTATAACCTAGTTAATATTTCTGCTTTGTGTCGGATTGTGAATCGACACAGTCGTCTGTATCACCTCCTACAAATGTCTGGGCACAGCAGGCATGAATAACGACTGATATTTTTCAGTTCCTTCTATTCTGCTCTCTTCTGATTATCTTGTCAACTGGACACATACTGCCTCTGTGTGAAACTGTTTTAGCATCATATAATTCAAACTGATGTCGGTGGAAATGAACAATTTTAAGTAATCATTTTAAGTAATCCTCATTGCGTTTCAAGTAAATTTTGACACTTCTTATGCCAACGCAGTTGACAGCTGTTACCTACCGTTGTCATTATTCAATAAGGTTGTGCAAGAGAAAACATTTCTAAGAACAGTGCTGGAAAAACACAGAAGCTGACCACACCTACAGGATTTTATTAACTTACAATGCATATATTTTTTTAGATTGTTGTTGACCTCAAGTAACAAAATCCATTTAGAAAGTTTAATCCCTTGACTTTTCGGTTGTCAATTTAGTTTTCTTTAGATCTATCGCTCCGTAATATTTTTCTCTCATCACACCAAACACACTCACACACTTTTCCCCTACCAGTGGAACTTGGTAGGGCATAGGCTATAATTCAACATTTTGCACGAACAACTGATTTTGACCAACTTTGTCAAAAAAAAAAACATGGCTAAAGAAACTGATAATTTACCGGACCACAGTGTACTTTTAACATCAAAATTGACGAAAACACTGATTAACCATAAATTGTCCAGACAAATTTTGTTTGATCAACTAAAAGCTTCAGTCGTTTCCATCTCGATGTCATGACCCGATCACAAACGCTTAACTCGGTTCTCATGGCTTCAAAAACGAAAACAGACAAACAAACAAAAAATGTTATGGAGGTACACCTCCTGATAGTGTTGTGGTGTAACGCAGAACATTAAGTTCAGACTTATGGCCTTTCTTGGGCTCATCATGAAGCGCCATACAATCTGTGTGAAACACAAAGAAGAACCTGAGCAACAGCTCCCCCTACTGCTGATGTTCACAATAACAATAATGAAGAGCATTAATAGTAGGGGAGAGTGGGGTAAGATCAGCCATTTTTCATATTTCGGATCGCTTCATCAAGACAATCATAGTTTTGTCTCAAACTAGTGTATATGCATATATTTCAGGATGTTGTGCATCCCTGCAAACCAACAGAATGAGTGTAAACATGACTGTCTTAATAATATAGCCTGCAAAAAAAAAGGGGTCTCCTTTGGTCAACTTACCCCGTGTATGGGGTAAGTTGACCATATTATTGCATAGCCTGGCTGGGCCATCCTGTTGCGTGAATCACTTGCCGTTCCTTCCCACAACAGTCTGGACTTCGGCCCATTGGGAGCGTGTATTCCCAATCAGAAAATAACCAGGCCAATCAGAGACCGTGTTTCCACTGTTTCCCGGACAACAGGGAAAGGCAGCCCCTGATTGGTCCATGTGTAGATGTGACGTCTAACACATGCTGCAGGACTTTTCAAAGCCCCGGTCATTCAGAACACCATTAATTCTGCAGTTGACTTTGCAAAGTCGTCAGAAATTGTTTATTTCCGCAGAAGACGTCGGATATAAACGATTTCTGCCGACTTTACGTTTATCAAAGAAATATGAGAAAGATTTTGTTGTTATTTACATTTTTTTTCATACAAGAATCACATTGTGAGTGGTAAAAGGCTGAATACATAATCATATTTTAAGACTGGAGTGGTGATTATTGCAAGAGCCGCAACAACAGTCATCATCAATGTAGTCATTTATTAACAAAAAGCAACGAAAAAATCAAAACAGTAAAAATCCAAATGTAATCCTCATTTTACATAGCTTATGATAGAATAAAGTATCTACTGGATTGCAGGTCTTTATGTGACATGGCACCATGACATATATACTGAACTGTTGCAGCACATCTAGTAAACATACCATCCTGTTTTTTTTTTTGTTTGTTTTACTTTGAATCGGTGGATAAACGGGAGATATATATACCAGTTGGTTGTTTATTAATTTCAAAATGAATTGGTTTAATGGTTTTCTTTCCCTCTTTGGTGAAATAGTTAGTTGGTTTCTTTCTCAAAGAAATAAAAAAAAGACGAGGAGAACTTTGGGGTGTTACCAATAAAACGGAGTATACTGGATAACTTTTATGATTTCTAAAAACCATAGGACTGATTGTGGAAAACTGAGGCTAAGTTAAATTTTGGTTAACATTGGCAGAATCACTGGTTTTGACTGTGAAATAAACAAAGATATGGATAAATTAAAGCTGTGAGATGAAATATACAACAGGCAGGATGGGGGACATGAACTTGCCTTCAACCCAAAACATCCAACACCGATCAAAATATGACACTTGGCCATGTGCACTATGCAGCTACAACTCAAAGCACTGTGATCTCACAGACATTGTCTTATTCATATGGCATACATAGTATCCAATGACAGATGTTAATAAAATATCTATCAAAACAGGCAAAAACAAGTTAAATTATGTTCTGAATCAATAAAAATGTCTACATTTAAACTCTGCTGCCACTAGGAAAGCATAATATATACATTTCAGGTTGAACCACTAAGTAATGACAACTACTATCAGACAAGTTTTACTTGACATTATGTGGCTTCTCACTTCACTTTCACTTGCATGTACACAGAGGTGTGTTATGTGGTCACTGTTTGGTGACTCTTTTATGAGGACAGACCTGAATTATGTGTGATAATGAAGCTGTAAAATTAAAGCTCCTGTAAAGAACTTGGAGTTTGAGTTGATTTTGTGGACAGAGGCCAACCAAATCCTGTATTTTGCATCTGTAGGTCAGGTTTGCAGACAAAATAATTCACCATTTTTTTGCGAAAAGTGCATATGAAGCCTGTTTTGTCAGCATTCGGTAATTTGTATTGCCTTACACCTACCCCCAGTGCTAACAATAAAACGCACAGAAGTTGCACATGAGCATGAACATTCCCAGTCTTGTTACTGAAGGTCTTATTGCTCAAATAAATGTGACCTATTGTAACCAAATAAATGTAAAACTTTTTTACACAGCTCACAGGTTTGCACCTTACATTTTCACTGGGTGAAGTATGTGTGAAAATGCAGCCAGCAACAGGACAATATAGTGATTACACCTAGGAGATACAGCTAACCTCTTGTCTGTAATTGTTTGTAAATGTAGGTAAATAAATGTGCCTGAATGTGTATTTTCCTTATCTGTTTTTGACCTTTTTGTCCCTGACACAGTATTGTAGTTTCAGTTGAACAAACATTTATCTTGTAAACATTTAACATTTTATAAAATCCTATTCATGAATCACTAACAGATTCTCAACTTGCTGCACACCGTTACCATCCGTCAGTTAAATCACAATTAGAATGAGAGGCTGATCTTTTCTAGACCTGATCAGTTCATCAAATAATGTATAATAATAATTCTGACAGGTGCAATGTTCAGTAAATCAGAAGACATTTACCTGTTTTTGTTCCCTTTCAAAAAGGCTTTAACAGAAGTATTGTTTATACCACTTACATTTTCTATATACAATTCGAGTAATCTTGTTTCATGTCATGGACAGCCTTAAACTTCAGCATCAGAGACAGATTTTTCTTTGCTCCTACTGGTGATCATTGAGTTTGTGTAGGTGTAAGAGCGGGAAACCTCTTCCTGGAAAGCAGTCTCCAATACATTCAGGATGGATTTGCGGACTTTGTCCTTGAAGTCTTGGCCCATGAACACATACAGCAGTGGGTTGAGGCAGCTGTTGAGAAAAGCCAGACTGGTAGCTATGGGGACTCCAATAGTGGTGACATGGTCCAATGTCTCACTTGCATGATTAGCCATGTGATTAACCAACTCAATCAGGGCCATGATGTGATATGGAGCCCAGCACAGGAAGAAAATAGTAATAACTGCCGCAATGATCTTAAAGGGCCGACTGGACTTGCTGGCCAATGTGCGGTTCCTCCTGAGACGATGGATTATCACAGCATAACAGGAGACAATGACAGTGAAGGGGATCACAAATCCTAGGAGGAAGCGGGTGATGGTCATGGCCTGGTGACGAAACTGTCGCAGTTGATTCACAGACGGAGTTTCATAGTCATCTGAGAAGGCAAAGTTGTTGAAGCAGTTGATGATATCTTCATTATTATAAGATGGACCAATGTCTCTGAAGATAAAGTACGGGGCGCTGAGAGTCAGAGCGAGGACCCACACGCCCAGACTTACACAGGATGCCTTCTGTACACTCCTGTGGTTCTGGGCCCAGACGGGCCACACCACAGACACACATCTGTCCACGCTGATCACCACCAGAATGTAGACACTCGCAAACATGTTCAAAAAGCTGATAGTGCTGTTGAGTTTGCACATGAACTTGCCGAACGGCCAGTGGAAATCCATGGCCGTGTACGTCACACTGAGGGGCAGGAACGCTGTGAAGAGAAAGTCAGCCACAGCCAGATTGAGGAACCAAACTGTGTTGACAGTTTTCTTCATCTTGAATCCAGTCACCCAGATAACCACTCCATTTCCAAGCACACCAAGAACAAAGGCCAGGCAGTAAACCATGAGAGACATGATGTTGAGAGACTGTCTCAGCTCAGCATGCTCATCCTTATAGTCATACTCTTCGTCATCATCATACATGGAGCCATTGCTTCCAGCGGCATCTGTTGTATTGATGTGGTAGAAAGGGGTTGTGGTCATAGGATCCATCATTGTCTTAGGAGCTGTAATAACAACAAAAACAAATGTTTACTGTCTTGCTTTGATGCTTTGGGTTTTACTGAATGATTTCCATGAAGAATGACAGACACAAAAAAGAGGGAGTTTCACTAGAAGGCGAAGCTGCTGTTCACTTACACTTGGCTTAAAGTGTGGAGAAATATTCCCAACTGCACCTTTTCATGAACCCGAGCACTATGAAATCTTTACATAGCATTCTGAATATATCCTCATAAATGTCAGAGTTGCTTAGAGTAGGTTAGTGCTGCTATAAAAAAATGAACCCATTTAGAAATATGAAAATGAAATCCCATTTAGAGATAATTGGGCAACAGTTTTACATTTACAAGTAAACCTGAAAAAGATGAAACTGATGAGCATTGTTTCAAGAAACTTAAGCCAAACCACTCAAACGAACCAGTTTAGAAACTAAAACCGCTGTATTGCATTAGTGAAAATGTTCCCACGCAGTGTATGATCACACTAAATACTCCACTTGGTTTTCAATGAAAGCTCCAAAAACACGTGAAAATGGCAGTGGACGGAGCGGTTTAATTCCAAACTTACAGGTTCTCCAGAGCGTGTTTTAGCCCTCACCTATAACGCCCCCTCCCTGACCTACAGAAGAACAAAGGTACAGTACCTCTCCCAAGGCGCCAGTCCGGTGAGGATGTGTCCGCTGCAAAGGCAACTCTGAGCACAGTTTGCCCCGTCTGCGGGATTTTTGGAGCTCTGATCCCTGAATCCTTCAATGTGTGACGCCATCGCCCACATCGAGGCGGGACCTCGGGCGCACGTACTCCCCCTCATTAGAGGACCATAAAAAGTTTGCAGTGCAGAGCAGGCTGCGCATGTTTGCTGTATTTCAGACAATATGAATATTTCTTTAAATCAAAAATGCAGTTTGCATGAACTGCATAGTAAATGTTACTCCGTTCAAATGGTACTGTGGCCGAGAACCACCACTGCTGCAAATAAAACAGAATGCCAAAAAAAGATGCCACTGCTGCAGATAAAAAAGAAGTTACAATGGAAGTTACTGATGCAAAAAAAAAAAAAAAAAAAAAAAAGGAACCGAAGCCCGCTGCAAATAAAAAATTGAAACAGTGCAGATAAATAATTTATAAGTGGTATTAGTGGTAATGCCAAAAAAAAAAAAATTACTGCGAAAATAAAAGGATGCAAATAAAAAGGCCACAACAGAAGTGAGCTGTTGGGGACTAATAATGCTGATGCACTGGTGTTTCACGATCTAGGCACAGAAGATGACGGCAAAAATCATGTAGCACCTGAGTCGATGTGAAGTTGAACTAGAGGATGCCGATGTAGTGTTAACTCCATATTGACTCAGGCGCTACATTGCCTGACCAAATGACGCATTGAAAAGCACGCAAAGTGAAATTAAACAATAACCTTCTCATTTACTTCTTTGCTCATCTTCCCGCCAAGTTTTCTGTGCCAAGATTGTAAAACACCGGTGCATCATCATTACTGGTTCCCGGCAGCTCACTTCCATTGTGGCTCTTTTTATTTGCATCCTTTCATTTTCGAAGTTAGTAACTTTTTCTTCCATTGTCACTTTTTTTTGCATTGTTAACTTCTGTTGTGTCTTTTTTATCTGCACAGTTTCTCTTTTTATTAGCAGCAGGCTTCAGTTTCTCTTTTTGCATCTTTTTTAACTTGCTTTGTGACTTCTTTTTTTTTTTTGCATTATTTTTTTTATTTGCAGCAGAGGCAGTTCTCGGCCACTGTAAAATGGCCTTCTTTATATCCATAATTGCATTTCCAGATATAGGCTGCACAATATCATGTGCAAGTGACGTCATCTTTTGCAATTAATGTGTATAGAGGCCTCTAGACATCCATAACATCATTTTTCTCATACAAAGTGAGCATCTTGGTTTCTGCAAACAAAATTGTCCTTGTTATAATTTCCATTTCAGGTGTCTGAAATGGAAGTTTACCATAGAAAACCATGATGTAATAAAAAAAATCATTCTGCCTACAGGATCAGTGATGCTGTAAAAATCTGAAATTGAGATGGCAAGAATGATGCCCTTATGGACATTTGAGAGACAAGTTCTATTGTCAATATCTTCACAGGTCTTGTAAAAATACAGTTTTGACTATAGGAGAAATGTGGATATACAGTAACTTTAGAAGAGTGTTTGCTTAAAATGTGAAAACACCTAGCAACTAACAGTTGACTTGCAGTCATAACATCAGCTCACGTTTCAATCTGTGCTTCTCTGTTGTGCAAATCTAAAGCTTGATGCACATCTTGCTAAGACACGTCTTTTTTCAAACGTGGCATGATTTAGCTGGGAAACTCCAGAAGTGAAAACACATAAGTAACCAAACAACCTGCATAAATTGTGGGTTTGTCAAGATGACTACCTGAGAAGGAGTGGGACTGTGACTTCTCTTTTCACCCTGTTGTGTAATGTGTTTTTATCCATGTGGGTTGAGGTCATGTTTTCTTGAGGTTCAAGGTGTAATGGCTGTGCGTTGGTCATGTGAGTGGATATCTGGTGGTTGCACAACTGATCCATATTTTTTGTCTCTTCTCCTCTCCCAGCAAATGGAGGGAAGTCACAGCAGCATCTGCCGATAATTTCAGGTTTTCTTGAACTTTTATGAAATAGCAGGCTACTCCCTCTCCGCCACTGTCCATTTCAAGCTGGACGAACAACTTAAGAGGCATACAATCAAATCATGGTGAAAAACAACTTCTTCTCCCAGTCATGATGAGGCTAATGCAAAATTGCGTAATACTTTGCAGCATGTTTTAAGGAGCATCCTCTGTTGTACTTTTTTTTGTTGTTGAGTGGGTGTTTTTTGACTATGCAAAAAGGATTTTTTTTTCTTTCAAACATTCCAACTGTGAAACTGTTTTCTAGTTTTGCAGCTCACTCATTTTGGGTAGAATGTCAAAAACGTTTTTTTTTGTTGCATGAGCTACAAAGTTAAAATAGGACCATCTTGGCCCAGGGTGGGATGCTTTTTGGTCACTGGAGAATACTTTTAACTCATTAGACTGCACCCTGCATTCCTTCTGCATGTGACAGCTAAGATAAACAGCAGAAATGCCAGAAGGTGCGTAAGTTTTACTACTGAAGGCAGCTAGCAAAGAACCGCAAAGCTGATTGCTAGCTTAAAACAAAAGAGGATTCACACACCCTGGAGCACATTTAAGCTGTAATTGGCAGCAATTTCATCTTTTAAACCTGCTTGGCACATTCCTGCTGCTGTTGTACGTCAGATATATCATAAGTAACACATCAGAGCCGGAAAATTGAAAGTGAGATGTACCCAAGATCTTGCAATAACATTGAACTGAAGATTACTCATAGATTTATAGAGTGAAGAACAAAATTTTAAAATCATGTAGATTTGAAGAAGCTTCCTGCTGCTTAAATCTTGCATGAGGAATGTGCATGTGTAGTGTCTAATTAATCACACAGACATAACAGGAAGAGATGCAAACACTGGACATTTATTAATAAGAACAAGATGCAAGCATGAGCATGTGGGAGTTTTGGCAGCAGAGGCAGAAAGTGAGGCTCATGTCTCCAGAGTGCAGCCCTACCTTACATTTGGGGGAAAATGTTTCATCTGAGTTTGACTTCATGGTTAAATTTCCTCCCACATGGTTCCTTTTTACTCTGCTGCCCCATTGCATTACCCACGCATTCGTCCTTTTCTGTGACGTGGGTGTGAATTAATCCTGACAAAAAAAAAAAAGAGCAAAATATTGCAAAACACAATTTTTACCCTAAACTGTCGAATGTGTGTCTTTATATTTCATGTGTAAAGCAAGCGTCCTTCAAAGTTTTCTGTTAGCTCTGCTCAAAGATTCAACTCATATAACCTATATCTTTATGACATATGTAAGAATAACACGTGGGGTGTTTGAGTTTTCCTTTAACATGACATTTGCATCCCTTTTAAAAGGAAATACAAACTTTAAATCTCACTCATTCACAGAAAGATATGCCTCTGTGTGGCTTTGATTATCTCTCCTGTATCATCAGTTCACCCTGATAAAATGCACTGAGCCTCAAACTCTCACACTGATCAGATTTGCGTGGTGTGATCTGCTCGAAGCTGCCCAACCCTAAAACGCTGAACCCCCTCCGCTAATGTACACACACCCCACACAGGAACCGTGTCCTGCCAGTACTCCAGATGTGAGGGGGAGGAAGGAAAGAGAGAGAGAGTGAATGAGAAAGAGTAAGAGACACTACATCTGTGTGAGTGTCTGTGTACACATGCCTTTTGTCCCTGCAAGGGGTTCACAGCAACTCCCTAATTTCAGTGTGTGGGTGGACACATGTTCTGTTATCGTTGCTTTTTTCTTAAGACACATAAATATTCTGAATCTGAATTTTCCCCCCTTGAGTGATATTCTACACCGGCACCAAAAGCAATCCACTCTAACTACAGGAAACAGTTCTTAAAATGCTGACCCAGTTTACTTTCTCATTACTTCAAAACTCTATTTCAGCTCCATTTGTTGCGCTGAATGGCATTACAGTTTTAGCCAAAGTCTAGACAGTACGACTTCTTTGTTGAACTCGGTCAAGACCCCATTGAGCAACCCATGCTCCGCTGTTCGGTTTGGTGCTGAAATGTGTTTTTTGGATTGTTTTCTGCACAGTTTTGTAACAGAGCGTTGAAGGCAGAGAGTTTTGCTGCTGTCTGTAGGGGATATTAATAGCCATCCAAAGGCTATAGTTTGAGGGAAGCCTTCAGAGGCCAGGGCTCGCCAGAGTTCTTGATTTACCAACCAAACGTGCAATTATGTGTGTGCCGCACAAATACCAATTTGGGTGTGTAAAACAACTAGTGAAGATTTAAAGGGAGTTTAGTTTTAGCAGAGAGTGACATACGCTGTTGGAGTTTGGGGGTTTTAATTCACTTAAACACCTGGGAGAGTGGGAGGGGGGTGAACAACCAGAAATGCTTCACTAAAATTCATTTACATGCGCATGTGAGTGTGTGTGTGTGTGTGTGTATGTGTGGGGCAGTGCTGCACTAATGACACACTCATGCTCCAGCATCACTGTCATACACCCTGTGTTTTTCTTCTCTGCTGTGTGCAAAACAGTGTGAGCTCAACATTTCTAAATCCACAAGTCCTTTTTATGAAATGTGTGGCACAATGACTGTCATGTTGAAACTCCCAGACTACAGCGGGGCTGTGCAGTCACAAAAGAGTGAGAATCAGCTGCATCCCCAAACCTCAAAGGTTTGTTGATCTTGTTGCGGTGCTGACTGGAAATCAAACCCTTGTCTCACGGCTGCAGAGAGGTCAGGAATTTTGTTTTTCAAGGCAAACCCCGGTGCCAACTGTGTGCTCGCCCTGATGGCTCACTGACAGTTTTTTCCATGAAGTAAACCACACACAGGGGAAAAAAAGGCTGAACCTCAATAACCAAAACCACTTCCTTGCATTCGTTCCTACGTTGGACCGCAGTGCCTGGTCCCCCTCAGCCGGCCTGAAGGATATGAATAATAAGCCTGGGCTCTGTCTGACAGCAAACAAGCCTGGCAGCGCATACCCATGCAGATCAGTGACACAGTCCTCTCTCTGTCTGAGGGTATTTTAAGGTACAGTGAAACGGGGTTAGAGGAAATAGGGCAACAGATGGTGAACTCTGCGAGATTTGGTCCACTACTGAGGGTTAAAAAGGCTGTGCTGATATTCATTAGCAAAACTCAATGGCAGTTCTCAGAGAGTGCACAGAGAGAAGTATTTATGTTGTTTCTAAATCCAGCTGATCACATCCTGGATGCTGTTTTGCACATGTGCAACTAAACAAGCATCTGTGTGTCACATGTGAGTTTATCAAAGACATCTCTGCTCAATTATCACAATGACTCTTTGCATTTGTGGCACATTTTAACAGTTTTCTCTAATAAATGTCCTCTAGCTTGTTTTTTCCCCCCTGTGAAAACTTAATGAAAATACTGTCTTGTGAAAAGTACAAACGAGAAGCGACCAAACAGAAGATCCTGACATTTTAGCATGTAAGCAACCTAAGATGTTTTTATTCCTACAGAGTTAAAGTCTCTTTTCGAGGAACATGCCAGGTTATAGCACTTGCTAGCAATCAAAGAAGACAAAGCGATGATGTGAAGGGTGCAGACGTTGTGTACACCACACTTAATGAGGGGGGGAGAACCTGCCTGTGCTGGATGGGAATGCGTTCTATCTTAAACCTTAAGTGTATAATCACAGGGTTTGCGTAAGTGCACCCTCACATTTGGATGTTTTCCTGTCTGCTGCTGATAAACACCTATGCTCACACATGAGTAATGCAGCTTTCTGTGCACCTCTCTGCTGATACATTGAGTCACCAATGATGAGCAGTTTTGCAACTTCCAAACTGTGAATTGCTTTTTCCTTTTCAACTCAAAACCAGGAGGCATTTACAGTACATATTACAAAATAGGATTGTAAAATATGAAGTGAAACAGTGAAGGAAAGTTCTGCTTTCTTTTGTTATTTTATTAAACTAGTGCACTAAAGATAACACAGGAAGCTGAAGATGCTGACACAGTATCACAGCGGTGATATTAGACCATAAAAGCTGACAACATCAACACTTTCATATCAACTATTTGAACGCGGCTACATGCTGACATTTGGCTGACAGCAGTTTTGTTGATAAGACAGAGCTCTTTTTTTTTTTTTTATCAGAGTGAGCGAATACTCAAAGAGAAAAAAGTGTTAAAAAAGGGTGTTTGCAGTTGCACTCTGGTAACCATCTTTTACCACATAAGTTACCAACATACCAGTTCTTACTCAACATCCTGAGAAAGGAGTGCCTTTTTGTTAGTTCTCAGCCCTTATTTCACACCAAGTTTATGAGTTAAGAATGAACCAGCTGTTTAAAACATGGTCATGATGACTTAATTTTGTAGAAATTGGGGATATTGAGGCTAAACTGTCTTTTGAAAACCAAACAAACATTAAAACATACAAAAAAAAGAAAAAGAAAAAGAACTTTGAGAATGTGCTGACTGAAAGCAGTTTAGACAGGGGATTTCCAAAAAAACAGCTTTTACAATTAAATTGTCTTCCTCGTTCTTGTCCTGGTTGTTTTCCCAGAGTTAGGCTAAGATGTTTTTTTCTTTTTCTGTCTTTAACTGCATGCTGTACATTGAACCATGTGTTCTGGGGAAATGTAACACATGTTTGGTGATTAATGTGTACCTCTGACGATGAAAGACCTTGAAAAGAATGGAGATAAGGGGACTAAAATACCTGAAACTTAGAGGGTAAGGGCACATTAATCTGCCAGCCAGCCAGACACACTGCGGACATGGAGCTGCTCCTTTTTCTGGCTCTCTTTGGAGGGGCAGGTACATTACTGAGCTCAGAAACACAGAAAAAGACTCATTATTAGCCTTAGCCTTTAAGTCTGAAAGCTGTAAACATAATTTTCCTGATTAATTGTTGCTTTTGTAACATCTGCAGTTGCTCTGGATGAAGATGAAAAGATAGTTGGAGGATACGAGTGTCAAAAGCACTCTGTGCCCTACCAAGTGTCTCTTTACACGGGATACAACTACTGTGGCGGGATCCTTCTGTCTGAAGAGTGGGTGCTCTCTGCTGCACACTGCAAATCGAAGTAAGAGAGATGATCACTATCCTCTGTTTATGTGAAAACCAGAACTGTGCCGGCTGCTGAACAGTGGTGCATTCATATGGTGCTAAATTTAAAACCATACCCGCTTATGTCGTCAAACTTTGATTTTCTTGATTGTAAAAGCAGAAAACATGCAATCTGATCCTAAAGTAAAATCCTCATAGGTCAGATGTGGAAGTTCGTCTAGGTGAGCACGACCTTTGGGAAGATGAGGGGACTGAACAGCACATCATGTCTGCCGAGTACATCAGACACCCCAACTACAACCCGCGCTCACAGGACAGTGATATCATGCTGATCAGGCTGAGCAGACCTGCCACTCTGAACAGCTACGTACGCCCAGCTAGACTTCCTTCAGAGTGTGCCAGAGATGGAACAAAGTGCCAGGTCTCCGGATGGGGCAACATCCGTCCCAGCGATGAAGGCTGTGAGTCCTTGCATAAAGAAAATGACTTTTTTTACGCTGTTATATACTCATCAAGTTTTGCTGCCTTTTCCAGCAAGATACCCTCATCAGCTGCAGTGCCTGGAGGTACCTCTCCTGAGTGATGACACATGCTTTAACTCATACCCTTTCCAAATCACCGAGAACATGATCTGTGCCGGCTATCTAGAGGGAGGGAAAGACTCTTGTCAGGTAATGATAACAAAAGCGGCTGCTGTGTGAAGAAAAATTCTGCCAGTGAAGATAACCTCTTTTCATCCTCAGGGTGACTCCGGGGGTCCATTGATATGTGACGGAGAGGTGCAGGGAGTCGTGTCTTGGGGGAAGGGCTGTGCTCAGAGGAACAAACCTGGAGTGTACACCAAAGTGTGCAACTACATCACCTGGATCAAGAACACCATGGCGTCTGGCTGAGGAGGGAAGAAGTCAAACAGTTCAAACTTAATGTGGCAACCTCAGTAAAGCCCTTCTGATGGTGATCAGTGTGTACAGTGTTGTTTTTAAGGTCGATAATGTTTCCAACTGAACAAAAATGAAAGAAGTCGACACAAAACATGCTGTGTGAAGAGGAACAGATACCAGATCATCTCCCGATGTCTTCCCACGCACACAATAGAAACTAAATGAAGTAAAAGCTCAAATAATACTTAAGATTACAGAGAACTGGCAGAACTGATCATAACTCATTGCTTTGTTTTGCATAGTTGCAAATGAAAACGTCAAGGATTTCACAATCTCACATGTGTAGTTGCTTCCTCGTTTCTCAGTGTGAGCTCTGACTCGGGCTGGCCTTACAATGAATGAGCAGATGAGATTTTTTTTGCCAAAAGGCGCCTCGGTAGATTGCAGAACAGCTGTGGAACAAACCTGACATTTACAGTCAGCAAACAGTAAATCAAGACGGCCAAAAAACACTGCCACACCGCTCTCTGTGGGCTGAAAGTGCAAAGCAAGTTGCACACTCTGGCTACACTCTATGATCAGTGATTGTAGATCACTGCGGCATTAAGCCAGCAGGCTGTCCAGTAACTTTTTAAAGATGCACTTCATTGAAATGATCTCTGTGGAGGGTCTGTGATGGTAATGGTAAAAACAGCAAGATTTTCACTTTTATTGAAATAAAAATAATGTTGGTCATGATCTTAAAACTCATTAAAAGGGCATCAGGTGCACTTGTGAAGCATAAAATCCCAAATTGATTGCAGTGGATTTTGGTTTCTTGGGTGTGGCAAAGAGCAATGAAATGAGTCACTAAGCTCTTTCTTGACCACTGGATTAAAAACCCAACAAGGTTTCTGTGGACTCATACAATAAATAGCTCTCTGTGAAATGAAGCTCAAGATGCTGAATTTTCTTTTCTCTTTTTTTTTTTTTTCTAAATGGATCTCCAGCCTTGAACAGGATGTTGATTCTGGCATCACAGATGTCCATGTTTTGAATCTAACAGAAATCCACAAACCATGTTTACGAGCTATGCAGAAGTTATGGCAGCTTGGCAAAAGGTTCCTCCTCCCTCTGCAGCATCTTGTACAGAATGTGTTCTTGATGTGGCCGCAGTGCAACCCTCTGCGATTTCACTGATTTAGCCTGGACTTTTTTGTTTGATATTGAGCTACAAAGGCAAGAAAACAAGGAATAACTACCTCAAGGAGTACACATAGGAATGGCATTAAAAGAATGATGAGACCCCCAAAACAGACACACAAATATGAGAACAAAGGTGCACAATAAAGACTTAAGGGGTGACAAGAGCTCAGGAGGTCAGAAATCTGATGCATTATGAAGGTCAATAGTTCAGGATTCTTTGAACCCATTGGTGTAAAACAATGAGGTTAAACAGGAGGGACTTACAGTACACATTACAAAACTGGATTGTAAAATATGAAGTGGTTAAAATGAGTGTAAACATTCAGGAAAATTAACGAAACATACAGATCTCCTGAAGAAAGCTAACATATAATAACATGTCCTATAAGTGAAGCCAGCTCTCCGTCTCTGCACATGGACTGGCACAGCCTCTGTTCATGACATCAGCTGCTGGTGGCTTCTATTCCAGGCTGACATGAAGCATATTGACGGCTCGGCCAGCTTTTGTGGCTAAGGGTGGGGACCCTCATGAGCGGTCAACAAATTTCCCTGTAAAGAAACTCTCCAGGGATGTAATCATGGTTAGGACGGGACGGTGGCAACAGCAACATATTGAATCGTAGGAGGCGGCTTTAATCCTCTGAAGTCAGAAATAAAAACCACAAAGGAAGAAATCCTTTGTATCATTACTACTGTTTTATCTTCTCATTAAAACACAGGCCATTATTCCCCTTCTTCCTACTACTTATCTACGGCTTTGTTTTTTTGATTTGTGACTCTTGTAGTGACAGAAAGCAACCAGCAGAGGGCAGCATCTGCCTAACATTGGTCTAAAGTTTGACTTTTTCTTTTAAACAATGAATTTTTGATCTTTTCAGCTCTTCATCGCCACACTTCGTTCATTTTCTGAATGGTATTAATATTCTCTCAATTGAACAACTGGTCACTTCCTCAGAAATCTTTTTTCTCTCACTCTCAAGAAAAAAAAAAGTCATTAAAAAATCTAGTTTGGGCCAAGAAACTTACAAAGCAAATTTGATAAAAACAAACAAACAGACAGACAGACAGACAGACAGACGTAACAGTCACAATAAACGTCCTTTCAGATGTGGGATGGATTAAAGACTTGATTTGTTTCTAAACTTAGGTTTATGTGAGGGATGTACAAAGTCGGGGAAGCCACAACCTGAGTCTTGATAGCGGTCTACAACTTCATACCTCTACGGTATGTAACGGGAGGAAATAGTCACCTATGAGAAGCTCACAGATATGTCCTCCACAGGCGAGACCTCCGCCTCCTGACGTTTGATTGAGTCAGCGAGCGCGCGGAGTTCCCATCACATAAAACGCGCACGTGGCTCCATCCGTGGTTTCAGAGCCTCGGAAACTTATAAAGTCAACCAACTTCACTCCAAGTGGAGACTCCAGAGAAACACCAAGTGGATGTAGCAGAGACTTACAGCAGGGGAATCCAAAAACCAGGTAAGATAAAGAAATAAAACTTTTGTTTATTATTTATTATTTATTTTTTAAAGCATCTCATCAACTTATTTTATTTTTTTATGGCTGAATTTTTATGTGCAAGTCACTGTTATAAGTATTTTTTAACGCTATTTGAATAATAATAATAATAAAAAACCCATATAGACCTACTAAATCCCTACTTTCATATTTTACACACAGATTGTGATTTTCCTTGTCCCTATTTGACCTGTTAGCCAACCAGTGATCAGCACAGATGTCAAACTATGCTTAATTTTGTAACTTTTTGAGCATTGATAAATATATCTGGGAATGAGGTGTTTATGTGCCAAAAAATCATTTAAAAATACCTCCTTATTAAATCCATTAATTGAATTTATTGAGTCAATGCTCCTTTTTTATTATGTAACATGAGTGTGGCTGATAACACAAGCCACATTCACCTGACCGGTCCAGATAAACACCCTATTCAAAGATATTACAGGCAGAACAGATGACCTGAAGTGAATGTAGTTAGGGAAAATATCTTCCAATAGGGTAAAGAAAAATTAATTAACAAGTTTCTCAAATTTCAGACTTTATTCTTGTTTTGAAAAACTTTACAAGTTCATTTTCACCTTCCTACTGGCAGATGTTTTAACCTATTCCAAGCATTTCAGTTTGTTTTTGGAGTATCTTGAAGTAAGGTGTTAATCTTAACTGTGGCACATATTGAGTCTCATATTACTTTACATAAAACAAATCATTTTATTTATTTATTTATTTATCAATTTATTTTCCCCCAAACAGCATAAAGTTCAAGCAGATTTTTGGTTTTGACTAGTCAGCATCAATTCTTTGCATTGTTAAAATTTTCTAACATACCGTGTCTTTGTGTCTCTATTAGGTATAGAAGCACAATGGAGCTGAAACCTTTATTAAAGAAGCTGTTGTCAACACTCCGCGCTGTCTTCACCTTCCTCTTCGCTCTGGTCGTCCTGGGTGTGATGGTTTGGGCTTATGTGGAGGGTTTCCAGCTAGCAACTTCCCCGTATGGGATCATCTCCTTTGGCTTTTATGGTCTGCTCCTCACACTACATGTGCTGGTCCAGAGCTTTTTTGCTTTCATCGAGCACCGGCGAATGAAAGCTCGCACAGAGGAATGTTCTTACACCAAAACTATTGGCTTCACTATCTCGGCTTTCCAGGAGGACCCTGTCTATCTGAGAGAGTGCCTCAACTCCATCAGGGCCCTCAAGTACCCGCCTGAGCTTCTGCGCATCATCATGGTGATAGATGGAAACTCAGAGGACGACAGATACATGATGGACATGTTTAGAGAGGTGTTCGCTGACCAAAACCCTGGCTTTTTTGTGTGGGAGAATAACTACCACACATGGGACCCAATGCGGGCCCTGCAAAATGCAGAAACTGGATCAGTAGTGGGCTTAGGAGGAGATGGTGATTATATAATGGGAGAGGATCCTCAAAGGAAAGAGGTAGAGCGCCTAATCAAGACAACCAGGTGTGTGTGCATCATGCAGAAGTGGGGCGGCAAGCGTGAAGTGATGTACACAGCGTTCAAAGCTCTCGGGGATTCAGTGGACTACATACAGGTGCCTAGTTTTTATCAAATCACTTTGCATTTTCTCATGTAAGCTTATTTTATTAAGAGGCACTTTTTGTGACACAATTTTCTTCTCCTTCTCCCCAGGTGTGTGACTCTGACACTAAGCTGGACCCTCTGGCCACTGTGGAACTGTGTAAAGTGTTGGAGAGCAACCACAAGTACGGTGCTGTGGGGGGAGACGTGATGATCCTCAACCAGAAAGACTCTTACATCAGCTTCATGAGCAGCCTCAGGTACTGGATGGCTTTCAACATCGAGAGATCCTGCCAGTCCTTCTTTAACTGCGTGTCCTGCATCAGTGGCCCTCTGGGTAAGACATATAATTTTTGTTGTTATGATTCTCTTGCAGTGATTGTAATGGCTCACTATAACTTGTGGTTTTTTTTTTCTTCTTTTTTATGCAGGTCTGTACAGGAATGATCTTCTCCAGCAGTTTCTGGAGTCGTGGTACAATCAGAAGTTTTTGGGAACTCACTGCACGTTTGGGGATGACCGACATCTTACCAACCGCATGTTAAGCATGGGCTATGCCACAAAGTAAGTATGGACAGAGATGTTCAGATGTTCGCTGGTGTCTGCTGACCGACCGTTTGATAAAAAAAAAAATGAACAAAATGTTGTCAGAAAAGTATTGACTGCTAACATTTTATTTGCTTTGACAACTATAACTCTCTCCACGTCATTCATCTTTTAGGAAATAGCTCATGGTATCTGATTTATTCATTTAATTGTGTTCTCACAGATTACTTTCAGTGTATGCTTATCAACATTGTGAGAGGGAATGACATCAGTTGGACTTATCTTAAAGGAGTTGCCTTTTCCATGCTGATAAATCTTTCATTGACCTTTGCATTTTCATCTTTTAGATACACTGCTCGCTCCAAATGCTACACCGAGACGCCTGCTCAGTTTCTGCGCTGGTTAAACCAGCAGACCCGCTGGACTAAATCGTACTTTCGGGAGTGGCTCTTCAATGCAATGTGGTGGCACAAGCACCACCTTTGGATGACCTATGAGTCTATCGTCTCAGGTATTTTCCCCTTCTTTGTCACCGCTACCATCATCCAGCTGTTCTGGACCGGCACGCTGTGGGATGTTTTGTGGATCCTGTGCTGCATCCAGCTGATCGGGCTGGTGAAAGCAGCCTACGCCTGCATCCTGCGCAGAGACTTTGTGATGGTGTTCATGTCCCTCTACTCAGCTCTGTACATGACCAGCCTGCTGCCTGCCAAGTATTTCGCCATTCTTACCATGAACAAAAGCAGCTGGGGGACGTCAGGCAGGCGCAAGATTGTAGGGAACTACATTCCCCTGCTCCCTCTGTCAGTGTGGTCGGCCATTTTGCTAGGAGGGTTGGGTTACACAATCTACAAGGAAAGTCAGTTAGACTGGTCAACTGATGCCAAGAGAGCAGAGGTTGATTTTCTTGTCTTTGGCTGCATGGCGTACATATGCTACTGGATGTTTATGATGTGCCTGTACTGGGTGTGGTTTCGCAGGATAATAAGAGTACGAGCCAAAAGCTACTCAGTGAATGTATAACAATATCAAGAGAAGAAAGATAAATTATTTAAAATCAGTTATATATCATATTTTATATGGGTCACTTATTTATTTTGCCATATATCAAAGTAACTGTTGTAAAGGGTTTTCATGCTGCTAAAAAAATAAAAAAATAAGGATAAAAAAGGAGAGACGCCTTTAAAAATAAATAAAACATCAGTAAATATGTGAGGGTGAGTGTTGATAACAGAAGCTTTATATGGAGATGTTGTTGCACACTGAAATGAAACAGTACTGAGGGCGTTTGGCCCAGGCACCTCTCAGGTTTTCCTTTGTCAGCTTTTTATGGCAGAGATGGCGTTCCATCAGATATTTATTCCTGATATCTAAAGATCTGAAAGTGCTATTTGAATAACACTTATTATATTGTATTTTAGGGTGAGGTTATGGATGTTATGTCGACTGTGTTGTAATTATAAACTTCACTTACATGCTTTACTGTGTCACTTTACTGACCATTACTTCCCCACTGTTGTTATTGCACTGGATCCTGGATGGCACTGCAGGTCTGTAGACCTACTTGAATATGCAGAAATGGCAGATTTAGTTCTGGGGCAAATGGGAAAAATGTAAAAAGGGGTGAAGATACCATACCTCTATGAGACAACTGAATATTCATGATGATGCTGCAGCAAAAGACTAAAATGTGTTGTCATTTCCTGCAGTCTGAAAGAATAGTGACAAATGCTTCTGAACATTGTATTTTGCATTTTGTTTTTTTGTTTTTTATCTGTTTGCTGTCTGCCTACTCTCTTTATGGTATGGGTGTACTGTGTAGGATGCACTTTGTTTAACTTGATATTACAGAGGAGAATGAAAAGAAACATGGTAGTTTTTATATATATTATCTCAGCAGTTTACACACTGTGAGGGCTGCAAGATGTCTGAAAATGTGAAAAAAAGAATGGTTTGGGGGTCTTGTATATCAAAGAATAAAATATTTTTCTAATGTGAATGATTGTGGTTTCCTTGGAGCAAAATGACATTTTATTTTTAGACTAATAATCAGTGCACTGAGAGAGAGAGAGAGAGAGCACATGGTGTCTTACTCAGAATCATGATTCTGTTTGGAATACGTTAACTTTTTTTGCTTATTAAGAGGGAGGGAAGTTTTACAGATCTATAAAAGATTAAAAGCAGGCCCTGCATGTCTTAAGAAAATTATACTGTTTTTCTGTACAAACTACGGAGTGGCGGGGTCTCCTCCTCCACTCTTCTCAACATACAGTATGGGGGGAGTGGGGTAGGATGAGCCATTTTTCACATTTTGGATCAATACATCAAGACAATCATAGTTTTGTCTGATAGTTTTTGTCATGATAATATAGCATGCGGGGTCAATTTACCCTGTGTATGGGGTAAGTTGACCATAGGATCGGGGTAAGTTGAGTTGTATCCCTACTATCTCCCCACTCTCCACCCCAGCCCTCCCTCACCTTCTCTCTCCCTAAATAACAGTCACTTCTTCACATTCATGTGTATTTTTATCTATTATACACTATTCAACTGGTACAATAATTCTTATTATTATTGCATATAACTCCTAAAAAGCTGGTTTGTAAAAAGTCATTTTAACATGAGAATGTCTTTAAGTGATTCAGAACATTCACAGCTGTATATTTGAAAAGAAAAAGTAACACATTTCAACAATCTGAACTTCAACTCTGATCCTCTCATCAGACTCCTTTACTTTCTCAGTTGAGACACTAGCTTAACCTACCCCTGGACAAATGGCTCAACTTACCCCAGAACTACTATTATAACTTTATTAGTCCTCTAAGCTAAAATGGTGGACTCTTATGTTAGGTTTTTGACCTCATGTTGTAGCTCATAGATACCACAATTGATTGATTAAACAAATTCAAAATGATCTTTTTGTTCTGAAGACAATTCTAATAAAACTTATGACAGACTAAATTCACCTTCAAGAGTGAAAAATGTTTTTTGGAAATAAATGTCTAACCCCTTCACCCATGTGCTTCTAACCTTCACAGACTCCATGAATTGATGCCCATCTCCTAAATATTTGGTCATATGATCAATTTCTTTTACCATTTCCAAGCAACAGGGGGGTGGCTCAACTGGCTCAACTTAACCCACTCTCCCCTATCCACTTCTGTCTTCTGCCAGATTCAGATTATTATTATTCTTTAATACAACTCAACTCAACTCAACTCAACTCAAACTTTATTTATAGAGCACTTTAAAAACAACCGAAGCTGACCAAAGTGCTGTACAGGTCAGTAAGGCACAGCAAAAATAAAAATACATAAAACAGACAGTAAACAATATGATAAAAAACACAGAATACAAGATTAAAATACAGCAAAGTAAAATTGAGTTACAAATACACCATAAATAAAAACAAATATAAAATACGTAAGTAGATAAAAAACAAATATAAAATACCAATCGAGAGCTAGGTAAAAGCTAGGGAGAAAAAGTGTGTTTATAAAGAGGATTTAAAAACCTCTATCGACTCAGCTGAACAGATGTGCCGAGGCAGGCTGTTCCAGAGCCTTGGAGCAGCCGCCCCAAAGGCTCGGTCACCTTTACTCTTTAGGCGAAACAAAAGTTAAGTCCTGATTTTAATGACCCTTTTAGTGGAGCATCCAAGCACAAACAACTTTCAAGTGACTATCTGTTTGCAAGCAGACACAAGTGAGGAGACATTTTTACACTATAAAAAAAGTTAAAAAAAAAAAAATCCAGGGTTGGTTTTACTCCCTGCTTTACTTATTTACACTGTCTTGATGACAAAGGGGAATAAAGGGTTAGATAACGCTCAAGGATAAGCATAATGTAGAGGTAAAATGCAAAATGAGTGAGCATTAACTTTTACAGCGAAGCATCTTGAATATAAACTCTGTCTTTATAAGAGCATTGGAGCAGTGTTTGACATCAGTAGTTAAGCATGGCAACCAAGGTTTGTGTCATATAGGTCTACACCCAGTATCTTTACAAGATCATTACAGAAGCCACAGGTCAGGTATAGTGAGGACAGGATAACATGAAGTCACAGGTGCAAAGTTCATTCAAGCCAGCAGATAAGTTCACAAAGAAAAAGAAGTTTCCATCCACCATGACAAGAAATGATCTGTTTCCACATAATGGGAGGATTCACTTAGGGTTGCTTTCCCTGGTTGGCAACAGGAATGATGATGTAGTCATAGGTATCTCATAGTTAAAGTGAAGTTGTATGAGGAGGAGTTAAAAGCTTTTCACCTATGGGTGAACTGTTTGAATAAAACTTTTTTTTTTCTAGTAGGGTGTGGAGTTGAGATACAACCTCACAAAAAGTGGTATTACATTTTTATTTGGATGTGAACTCTCCCCCATGTTGCAATGATCCCACTGGCTGAATGAATAGCTGAATCTTTGTGTACAGCACAAAAGCAATATCATACGTTCGCTGTTTATGGTTACTGAAAGCAGCACCTAAACCTCAGAATATTTCTTTTCTTAAAGTCAAGTGGACATTTGTCATGTACCTTTGTATTGCTGCCCCAAAGGTCCACACACTCTGACGTAAGGTATGGACAAGGAGGGACTTGAATGTTAATGATTATATTGCTTAGATAATGGTCTAAAATGGGACATTGAATATTATTTGTTACATAACAAGTTCACAAACGAAAGCTAAATATTCTTCAGTATAGTTTGGCCTATGTTTTTTTTTTTGTTGAATATGGTGTGACAAGCAGCTATATTTTTATGGTCTATAGGAATGTCCTTGCTGCTGATGAACTTGATGACTTGCTGTTCAAGTGAGTGCAGCTCACCTCTTGGTGCATCCTCACCCTTCATATGTGATCTGCTGTGATCCTTGCATACCTGCGTTGGGTTGTCTCAATTCCCAATATCATAAGGTCATCTATCCTTGTGTACTGTTCCAAGTCTTCTACGCTTCTTTCTAGCTCTTCAATCTTGGTCTTTTTTCATGATCACATGAAAGGCCCATCTGTTGTTTTGCCACCTCACTCAGTTCCTCTGCTATAAAGTTCAGACTCTTCCATATCTTCTGCTTATTTCTTCATGGCCATTTCTTTAGTTGATTATTAAGGCTTTTAAAGAAAATAAGAAAAAAATCCCAAAACAAACCACTGTCTTGCTGAGATTCCAGGTATGGCAGTAATGCTGGTGGGTTAATACACTGTGGTACATGTCATCAAAAATGTCCAAAAACTGTAAAATGACGAAAAACAATCCAGCCAGTTTGATATCAACTTTCTTATAAACTGAAAAATGTCACCCTTATGCGGGGATGTCAAGTTAGCTCTGTGATTTTTGATAGATTGATAGAGCCAAACCACACGGGGAATCTAACCAGCAGCCATCTTTAAAGCCTTAATTAATGCATGATTAATTTGAATATAATTTATTGTTTGTTACTTTATCATTTCCTTGAAGTAATAATCCCCATATTAATCATTTTGCACTGCAGACGTGGTAGTTCTTCTGCCTTGGCGTCTCAGTCTGATTGCATTAACATGAAGAAATGATCATAAATGTTCTTCCTTGAGCTGCTTCATCACCCCTGCAGTCTGTAATAGACTGGCCTGAGGTCTCGCCACAAACAAGCGGCTGCTGGAAGACAGTAGGCTAGTGCTATGGTTGGGACCCTTCATGTACTGTTGATGAATTTAGGTGCTGTTCTGAGCATTATTTGTGGCTATTGAGTGGTGTTTTGGTTGAGGTTTGTGTGTGGCTCCTGAGATCGCTGTGTATTGCTATCAAGTGGTCGATACTAAAGTTGGTATAACTAGAGAAGCAAGCGGTCTGCAAAATTCATCTCTCGGGGGGGGGGGGGGGGTCTAACTTGGTGTTATGGTGTGTTTGACCCTAAATTAATTTTATGTTGGAATACCCCTTTTATATCTTAACATTGTTGTTCTGGTGCATTGACAGACTTAAAACCTCTAAATACTTCTTCCATTCAGATCATATTAATGAAATTATCACTAGTGGTTCAGACAGAA